GGGCCCGGGGATTTAAAATATTTAAAATATTTAGAATATTTAGGCCCAAAATCAGCTTAAATATTTTAAATATTTCAATTCCCGGGAACCCAGGATCTGAGCCCGATTTAAAATTTTAAATATTTTAAATATTTTAAATATTTCAAATATTTTAAATCGGGGCCCGGGGATTTAAAATATTTTAAATATTTAAAAATATTTAGGCCCCAAATCAGCTTAAATATTTTAAATATTTTAAATCGGGGCCCGGGGATTTAAAATATTTAGAATATTTAGGCCCCAAATCAGCGTAAATATTTTCAATATGTTAAATCGGGGGCCCGGGGATTTAAAATATTTAGAATAGTTAGGCCCCAAATCAGCTTAAATATTCTGAATATTTCAATTCCCGGGAACCCAGGATCTGAGCCCGATTTAAAATTTTAAATATTTTAATTATTTTAATTATCTTAAATATTTTAAATATTTTAAATCGGGGCCAGGATATTTAAAATATTTTAAATATTTCAAAATATTTAGGCCCCGAATCAGCTTAAATATTTTAAATATTTTCAATCGGGGGCCCGGGGATTTAAAATATCTAAAATATTTCAATTGTTGAAAATCTTAAATCGGCCCCAGCTCCAGAAATCAGGACCCGGTGATTTAACATATTTAAAATATTTAAAATATTTAAAATATTTAGGCCCCATATCAGCTTAAATATTTTAAATATTTTAAATCGGGGCCCGGGGATTTAACATATTTAAAATATTTAGAATATTTAGGCCCCAAATCAGCTTAAATATTTTAAATATTTCAAGTCCCGGGAACCCAGGATCTGAGCCCGATTTAAAATTTTAAATATTTTAAATATTTTAAATATTTTAAATCGGGGCCCGGGGATTTAACATATTTAAAATATGTAAAATGTTTAGGCCCCAAATCAGCTTAAATATTTTGAATATTTTAAATCGGGGCCCTGGGATTTAAAATATTTAAAATATTTAAAATATTTAGGCCCCAAAATCAGTTTAAAATTTTTAAATATTTTATATCGGGCGGCCCTGGATTTAAATTTTAATTATTTAAAAATATTTAAATATTTAAATTATTTGTAAAATGCCAAATCCGGCCCCAGCTCCTGATTCTAGGACCCGGGGATTTGAAAATATTTAAAATATTTAAATATATTTTAGGCCCCAAATCGCTTAAATATTTTTAATATATTTTAAATCGCGGGGCCCTGGGATCTTATCATATTTAAATTTTTGAATATTTAGGCCCCCAATGCAGCGTAAATATTTTATAATATTCAAAATCCCGGGAACCCTGGATCTGAGCCCGATTTAAAATTTAATTATTTTCAAATTATTTTAAATATTTTAAATATTTTAAATCGGGGCCCGGGGATTTAACATATTTAAAATATTTAAAATATTTAGGCCCCAAATCAGCTTAAATATTTTAAATATTTTAAATCGGGGCCCGGGGATTTAAAATATTTAAAATATTTAAAGTATTTAGGCCCCATTTCAGTTTAAATAGTTTAAATATTTTAAATCGGGGGCCCGGGGATTTAAAATATTTAAACTATTTAAAATATTTAAATTATTTAAAATTTTAAAATCGGCCCCAGCTCCAGAAATCAGGACCCGGGGATTTAAAATATTTCAAATATTTAAAATATTTAGGCCCCAAATCAGCTTAAATATTTTAAATATTTTAAATCGGGGCCCGGGGATTTAAAATATTTAAAATATTTAGAATATTTAGGCCCCAAATCAGCTTAAATATTTTAAATATTTCAAATCCCGGGAACCCAGGATCTGAGCCCGATTTTTCAAATTTTAAATATGTTAAATATTTTAAATATTTCAAATATTTTAAATCGGGGCCCGGGGATTTAAAATATTTAAAATATTTAAAATGTTTAGGCCCCAAATCAGCTTAAATATTTTAAATATTTTAAATCGGGGCCCAGGGATTTAAACTATTTAAAATATTTAAAATATTTAGGCCCCAAATCAGTTGAAATATTTTAAATATTTTAAATCGGGGGCCCGGGGATTTAAGATATTTAAAATATTTAAAATATTTAAATTATTTAAAATTTTAAATCGGCCCCAGCTCCAGAAATCAGGACCCGGGGATTTAAAATATTTAAAATATTTAAAATATTTAAAATATTTAAAATATTTAGGCCCCAAATCAGCTTAAATATTTTAAATAGTTTAAATCGCGGCCCGGGGATTTAAAATATTTAAAATATTTAGAATATTTAGGCCCCAAATCAGCTTAAATATTTTAAATATTTCAAATCCCGGGAACCCAGGATCTGAGCCCGATTTAAAATTTTAAATATTTTAATTATTTTAAATATTTTAAATATTTTAAATCGGGGCCCGGGGATTTAAAATATTTAAAATATTTAAAATATTTAGGCCCCAAATCAGCTTAGATATTTTAGATATTTTAAATCGGGGCCCAGGGATTTAAAATATTTAAAATATTTAAAGTATTCAGGCCCCAAATCAGTTTAAATATTTTAAATATTTTAAATCGGGGGCCCGGGGATTTAAAATATTTAAAATATTTAAAATATTTAAATTATTTAAAACTTTGAATCGGCCCCAGCTCCAGAAATCAGGACCCGGGGATTTACAATATTTAAAATATTTAAAATATTTAGGCCCCAGATCAGCTTAAATATTTTAAATATTTTAAATCGGGGCCCGGGGATTTAAAATATTTA